TACAATAGAAGAATAACATTATACAAAATAGCAAGATCTCATCTGTTTTAAGATAGCCCCACATGCATCACTTCCTTCACCCAAAGGTGGGGGAAGAGATGGAAACTCCTAAGTGGAATAGAAGCTTTCGTAAAGAGTGGGCAGGTGCTTCTGGTGAACAAAATGAAGATGGAGAGTGACAGTCAGAGATGGTTGCAAAGCAGTGGAAAAGGTTTCAGGAGTTTCAAATCAGAAATAATATTCATTTAGCACAAAACCAGCTTCGCATTTGACCAAGACGCACTCTGCATTTTGGTAGAGAAATAGACATGTTTACATTGCTTAATTGAACAAAGCTTTTGGCACATGTTTGTCATGCAAACGGCAGGTCTTGAAATCTTAGGAATTTGGTACTTCTCCAACAAATATTTCCATATATTGAAGTTGTCTGTTTTAAAGGCAAAACCAATCCTGGTATTCCTTTGCCACTAACTCTAATACATGGCTGTGTTGGAGAGGCTATGCACATGCCATGTAGAGGAACTGCTAGTGCCTGGCAAAAGAAGATTGGCATAGAAAAGTGTGATCTGGCAAAGAGCAGATCCCTTGCTAATGAATCAGCACGAGAAGTTCAGTTTGAACAGAAACAAACTATAAAATGCCAGCTCAGCAGGAGCACTTCCTCGAGTACATCAAAGCTGTTCCTTTCTACATGGCACAGCTGCGTTCTTTCCAAGAATTTCTAGGCAAGTATCCTTGCTTTTCAAAGAGTTTTTAAAAGCATACAACCACCCTCTGCTTCGAATGTCCACAAATGAATAAAAAGGGATGTAAAAATTAGAAGCATAAAAATATTAAAATCATCAATCACGCAAAGCATGAGCATAGCTAGATACAGTAACCCCCTGCATATATGGAGATTATGTTTAAAATAAACATGTCGCCTTTTTTTCTGGGGAAGTAGATTTGTTGAACATTCTTATTTTCTTTATCTGGGTATTTAATGTATTTTTTTCATAATGTTTAATTTCCTCTATAACTAAGCACTAACGTTCTACTTATTGGTGTGATTTCAGCTGCATCAGTGACTGGGGAATAGTTTTTGTCTCTTTCAACAGACTGTGGTAGAACRCTCAGAAGTAACATCAGAAGTAACACAATAGCTGAGTTATCTTGCAGCATTTCTCAGGCTATGGACAAATTTTGCAAAAGAACAGGCAAACAGGGGGTCAATGGGCTACTAATTATAACAGAGTGGTTGTGGCTGTGTGACTGTCCCAAGGTAGGGAAGCTGCCGTGAGTCGAAATCTTGTTACGTATCAACAGCAAAACATGAAAACCATGGTACATTGCTTGCCTTGATGCCTCTACCTCATCCCAGTTGTTGGCATGCACAAATTTCTCATCCTACTTCTTACAARTGCATACTTCTGCAGATTATATAAAATATAATACATTGCAGAAGATCACTAACCCATACAATGCCTGAGTCTAATTCAGTGCACCTAAATTCTGCTAGAGTTAAGACACAGAGCCAAAACTGCTGAGGAACTTAGATGGAAACCTGGACTGGCTTGGCCAGAAATGCAGCTCAGTTCTGTCATCTTCTACTTCTGCACCAACCCAGGCAGCCTGTGAGCCCTTCCCACAAGTCTGATATTTCCATCACAACACACAATCCCTGCCTTTTTCATGATATGGTGTTTATGAATATATGGAGCAAAACAGAATAACAGGATGGAACTGTGGGAAAGAGAGTCCAGTGAGGTATTGAGAAGAGGACACACAAACAGAAGATTTTTTTTTAAAGGTATACCATAAAATATGCAGCAGTAGGGCAGAGGTACAACTTCACAGCCTGAATTAGAGGGATGAAAAAGCAGAGAATTCAGCAGGAAATGAAGTAGATAATAAGCACATAAAAATGCACAGAGTTAAAAGTGCATTGGAAATACTTAGACAAAGGGAAGGCAGTTTAACTTGGGAGCCAGGTATTCTGCTGTAGACCTAACTTACTACATGATTCTCACAAAAGTCCCACACCTCCTTTATTCTGCATGGAAAACTGAAAAATTTCATTGATGTTAGTAAAAGGGTTACCAAGACCGTAAGAAATTGTTAGGAGGTTACTCTTGACAGTTTTAATGGTGAGTGACAGCTGCAGATCAAAGTGCTGGTCTGAAGCTCAGGTCCTTTTCAGAAGAAGCTGGAGATTATGAGCTCTGACAAAGCTGCACAGAGCATTGCACGAGGCACAGGTTGTTGGGGAACTGCAAAATATATGGACTGGCCAGGAAAGGGGAACATCAGATTTTCAAACTGCATTTTCCAAGGTTCTTGGTTTTTTGCATTTTATGATTAATTTCTGATATCTTAAAAACAAATAAATATTCCCATATTTAGTGGGAGCAGAATTAAAGACACCCTTTAATTAAAAGGGCTGTGAATATCCTCCATGCTGTACTATTAAATGCAATTAAGGATGGAAAAATAGAAAGTGGGGCTCTGTCTACAATCAGAGCATGATTCAGGTTCTTTGCTCAGCTTTAGGGATACTCAGTGTCAGTAGGAGCCTCCTAAGTGCTCCTATGTCCTTTCTGGATGCCCACAATTCTCTTCACAGATGTGCCAATGATTTCCTACCAGACTAATTCAGCACCTACATCTTTTTTGAGAACATTTATGGTCTAGAAATGAAGATACCTTCCATGAAATAACTTCTGGAACTTATCTTGCTTTACAAAAGCAAGCTTAATTCAACTAAGTCCAAATATAGATAGAGAGTGTGGTTGGTTTTTTGATATAATGACTTTAGAGCAAGTGAGAAGTTAATGTTCAGATCCCTACTTTACCAGCTCTCTACTGAGCTGTGGTCAGTTCAAATCTCAATCCTGTGCTACCCAAAGGCTATTTGGAACTTTGGGTATAAATCAGAACAAAAGGAGTGGAAGGTACGGAGGATTTTGAAGCAAAGAATGCTTTTTCATGAGTCCAAGGAGAGGAATGAGAAGGTCTTGAGGGACCTGAATGCTGTATTCCAAGTGTTTGACTTGGTATTATTGCAAAATCACTGTTTAGAGCTCGAGCTGCAACATTCACACCCCCATTTGCTTAAAATAGAAGTAAATCTGATTTCAGTCCTTCAGTGCATTTATTCTCCTATACAAAGATGGGGACAGTAATAGCTGCCTTCTCACAGGCAGTATGGGCAACTAACTTCTTGAATGTATACAAGGCTCTCAGATACTATTCTGAATTTTTCCATCTAGTCGGTTAGGAGGAAAAGAGTTAATCTTTCTTTAAAAATGGTTTTGATTTAGTAGGCAGATAGTAAGGATAGCAAAATATTAAAGAACTGCTCATGGTTTTATAGCAATCTGCTATTAAAATGAAGTATATGTGATAATACTGTGACAAAGAGTGTGAAATTATAAAAGTCTACTAGATAGAATGGACAATTCTTTTTAGCACTTTATCTCTCTGAAAGGATGAATGAACTAAATTCTGCTTTTTTCAGAGGGCTGCTTAAAGAATCCTCTGTTAGAGTATGTTGTGCTGTTAATAATTAAAACTAGTCAAATATCCTGAAAATCCAAAAATGTCTGTGTTCCTATCCAAAAAGACTGATTGGCAAAATGCTTTCATTGTGTTTTTCTGATAAACTCCTCATGTAAAATGATAAGCAAGAAATTGAGGTACCCCTGCAAGCAGATGGAGATTACATCTTTTGTTGTATCTTTTTGATCCCTTTATGTGACTACACATGCCTGCATTCTCAGATACATTCACTCTGCCCACTGGCATACAGCTACATGACACATAAATATTTAATCTGCTTTACATACTGGAGTGGTCATAAGAGGTAATATTTAAGGACATAGAGGGTCTTGTGACAGATGGGGTCACAGATAAGGAATAAATGCACACAAAGGAGCTACTGAATGCTCAGAAGCTCCTTTTAAGAAAATGTATAAAAGCATTCCTTAGAGAACCACCTACCTCCAGTTCACCCAGCATTTCATGAATGGCCTTGTTTACAGAATTGCTTGAAAAAAATTTAACCAGTCTCACTTGTTTGCACACAAATTACAGCTCTACCTTCATAATATCTCTGCTTTTGGAAAGTTCCCTTTAGCACCCAGTATACTTCTATGTATCAATAATTCCTTTTTAAAAGTCCAAAACAAATTCAGGAAGCAAGCAGTGAACTGAAAAAGTTTACATTTATTAAATTAAGTGATTTTCTTGTTACATTCCACCCAGATGAATTTTTTGGCATATTTATGTTAATTTATGTTCATTCACTGGAAACTGTCACCAACATCTGATAGACTTTGAGGTCTCTTCATCTGAAGGTCCCGTGGGCACTGGTGGCCCAGAAACATCTGTCCTCTGCTACCTGGGAGGTCTCAGAGGAAGGGATATCAGGAGGAAGTGCTCTGCAGGGTTTAGCTTCTGGCTGCTGCTTGCTTTCATGTGGGTTTACCAGAGGGACCGAATGCTTGGGACACAAAGCCAACACTACTTAGATAATAAGCAGCTGTGCTCCTTTCTTAATGCCCCTCTCCATCCTCTGAAATCACAGATAATGCAGTTTATTTATTCCTCCAGTGCATGAATGAGGTACCTCTCTAATGAACAGGTCTGGCTAAAGCCTTGTACAGGTGGGCTAGAAAAGATACTGATGGATGGGGAAAAGAAATTGCTTTGGATGTCAAGATATTCTGCAAGACAGAACTTTCTACATACTGTGCATTTGTATCATTGTCCTCAATATCTTCCAGATTCCTAGACAACCTTCAGTTTCAAATCCTCTTTCAACTTGCTTGTTCATATTTAAAAAAGTTTCTGACATAAAGCTCACATCTGTGGTCAGGTTGTTGTGTTGTCTTTGGTTTGGAGCTAACCTTGCCYGCCACTGAGGCAAGTGACAGGTCACCCATCAGCTATTCAATGTTTGCTCTGGCTGGCAGGGAATCCAAAGAGCAGAGAATTTTAACTACTTGTTGAGCCAACAAGTTGTTCAATCCAGTTCTTATTCTGTCTTTGCTGGAGAGGTGATACAGAACATCTGAAGTGTTTTTGTTAATACTTTTTACATCAGAAGTCTAGATGTGGAACATTAATGGCAGACAGAGCATAAGATTTAACTTTATTTGTGGAGCTGCTGGAATTTCTTCATCTTCACAGTGTAACAGAGCTCATACTATCCCTCAGGGTAATCCATAAGAGCATCTGTTGTGCATAAAGAAAATGCTGAAATTAGTAGAAAATTCAGTCTTCTGTGCTTTGGTTTGGAAAAGAGCCARTCACCACTTAGGATGTGAGAAGATACCTTGGGGAGACCAGTTCACAGGTGAAGGCAGGAGAGGACTGTAATCCTCCACTGGAGTATCCTGCAAAGAAAAGATGATGCAACTAATTTTAAAGGTAAATTTCTTTGTTATTATGGAAGTGGAGATAAAAGCATTGTTAGTTCACAGGAGAATTAATTTGATTTTAATTTTTTTCTCTGAATTCATAAAAAGCCTGAGACCTTTCTCAAATATCACAGTTTCTCTGATTTTRTGTGAAAAATGGAACTTTAAGCCTGACAGAGCATCAGCTAGTGGCTGCATAGTTCTTTTCCCCTCTTCTGAGAACTGTCTTTCTTCCATTTTGTCTTGTTTTTTTCCTCTTTCTCCCTCAACAATTTTTCCACCACTTAATTCTGATTTGACATATCTGTGCTGACAGAGAAGTTAAGATTGATGACCTCTTATGTTCTTCTGGTCAGAGAAGATGAATCAAACTAAATTGTTTTACTAGTTAATAAAAACTGCCCTCTCTCTCTCTCTTTTTCTCTATTTTTTTTATTTTTTTTTAATGGAGCAAAGAAGTTCAGGGAGCAAAGAATGACAGGGAATGCGGTTGGATATTTATTTAAATGGTGGTGATTGCTGAAAAATAAAGGTAGCTAGGGGCACCTTGCCAGTTTGTTCAGACTGAGATTTGGCTCTTGGCTCAGGAGGAACTATCTGAGTTTTTTAAGTTCATAATGTAAACAGCAGTCAATTTGCTTTTGTAACCAGAACTAATATGATTTTAAATAGCCAAGCTATTTTTACTTTTATAATTGATCCTGGGTATATTTCTTGTCCTCTTCCATTCAATGTCATTTAAGGAACATATGATCCTTGGAGACCAAGCTATAGTTGTAGATAATAAATCCTTTAAGCCTGTCATTTTTTAGTTTTGATGGGAAATGCTTCAGAAAGCTACAAAAAAAAAAAACAAAACCCACAACAGAATAAACCCAAATATTTCTAAGCATTGGTATAAAAATTGCTACTATTTTTTTACTATTATTTTTCTTATTTTTGCAAGATTCCTGATAGGAGCAGCCTTATCATGGATGATTTATTGCAAACATCTGATTGCTGCAGGATTTGAGAGATCCCACCACAGATRTCAGAAGGAGCAATCCTGGGTTCTATCACAGGTATTGCATCTTGTATCTCTAGTGCCCATGGCCCAAACCCTGAAGAACTTCACAGTGCTTCATGCTGGCAGGAAATACCCATTCAGTCTCTAACACATTTTAAATGTTCTTCCTTCTTTTTGAAGAGGCAGAAGGGTTTCCAGGGATTGGGAAACAGTGTGTTAGTGGATGCTGCATGACCCCCAGAAGGAATCCGTCATGCGTTGACCTCAAAGGGGTAGTGACCAGGCAGGGAGGATTATTCCCACMTCTTCATGTAGTTCAGCATGCAGGTGTGTACTTGCACCACTAAATTATGCTTTATTTCCAGGAAAATCACCTGTGGTTTTGTTTCATAAATAGGGAGTCTTCTACATCAGGCCACAGAAGTTATGTTCTTACACCCATTTTACTCAATTGTCCCATTCTGTTTTAGCCCAAAATAAGGCTGAAYTGCAGCCCCCACTTGCCACCTGCACCAAGAGGCTTCTGATTCTCTGCCCTTGAGCTTCAGGCCTGCTTCTTGCTCCTTAGGTGTCTCTTGAACTTTGTGTTTGGCCTTTACCAAACTATCTCCTCTAAACCACTTAAAAAATTAATCATTTTTAGGGAAGTGTATGGAATTAGAGATCTTTTAGTGCACAGTTAAAGCAAAACCCTCTTCATAGGCACATGGTCCCTTGCTGGCTAGAATGCTTAAGTGTACTCATGTAGAAGTGATACATAAAATTAATTAAGGTCCTTCAAATGTAAATATATTTCTGTTCTCAAGCAGAAGTTCTGATGTCTTATTTTACAGTCTAATCTTATGCATTTTGAGGACAGTAAAGTGGGGTCTTTCTGAATGTCGTGCATGTTCTGTGATCCTGGGATTTCAAGTTCTGGATTAGTGCTGACATCTGCTGTTTGTTCTGGTTATATACTTGTAATACAGGATGGGGAATTGCTGTTTTTGTGCTTTTTGCTGACTCAGTTTCACGTTTTATTTCTTAAAGGTAACAYTGATAGAAATCAAAAAGTACCATAGAACATCCACGGGTCAATAACTATCCATATGGAATTTTGAGACATGACATAAGGGTTAGACAACAAAGATGAAACTGAATTTTTATCCTTTTAAATGACCAACAGTGCTTTTAACTGCGGAAAGGGCTTGAGAAAGGTAGCCTAAGGAAGGAAGTTGTCTATGTACAGGGTGGATATTTAGCCTGGAGTGTCCCTAGTGCAGGGAGCACTTTTCTGTTACAATTTCTGTTACCATTTCTCTGTTCCTCTTTCTGCAGGAGCCCCTTAAATGCTGCGGTCCTAATCCACAGCTGGTACAGCGGGCTGCTGCTGCTGCGGGGGGAAGGGGTTATGACAGCAGTGCAAGAACCCYGTGTGCTCATCCTGCTTTCCTGCTCTGAGATCCCACCCAGCAGTGCCAATCAAAGGAGTTTCTGCTGCCAACCTGACCACAAGCGTGGCTATCACACTAAGACATCAGATGCAAAATTGTCAGGTTAGTTTTAAAATCAGAAGGGGCTTTAAAATAACAGTTAAATAGTTTTTATCTGTGTTGTGGTATTTCGTTCCATTACAGTCTTCCTTTTCCTAACTTTTTTTTTTTTTTTTTTTTTTTTTTTTTTTTTTTTTTTTTTTTTTTTTTTTTTGTAAAATGCTTCATTGACTGCCCCACAAATACAGGATTTGAGTTTTTCAGAGATTTGMAATTAAACTGGGAGATTTGGCAAAGGAGTGCTTCTCAAAGGATAATGCTAACTAATGATAACATTGCTGAGGGTAAGRTCTCTGCAGTCTCYGGTGTTGATCCTATTAATGGTYTTAAAATAAAAGAGAATATATWTATATTAGATATAAGGAAGGAATTYTTTGCTATGAGCATGGTGAGACTGGAACTGGCTGCTCAGAGATCCTGTGGATGCCCCACCCCTGGAAGTGTTCAAGGCAAGGTCAGATGGGGTTTTCAGCAAACTGGTCTTGTGGAAGGTGTGGCATGGGGTAGGACTAGACGATATTTTAAGGTCCCTTCCAAGCCAAAACATTCCATAATTCTATGATTCTTCAATAACTTCCAGCGACTCTGGATGAAGTCAGTAGGATTCCCTCAGGAGAAAGGATATCAGCAGGGTACAACACTGAAAAAAAATTCAGGTCATAAATTCAAGATAAAGCCAAAATTTTAATCCCAGCAAATCCATTCTAATGCACTTTGTACTATAAGACCAGGATTTGTATTCAGTTTCTCAAGAGAGTGAGGCCATTAACTTGGTGTGATAAAAAGACAGTAATGTGCCTGACACTGAAAACATTTAACTTTTGTTTTGCATATAAATTAAATAACAGGGACAGTATCAAAATTATTGTTATTATTATTATGTAAAAATAGTAATAGGGAAATTTGGAAAAGTCACTGAAGTCCTATGAGATATGCTTTACATGAGAAATTACAATTAGAACTAAATAGATGGCAGGTGATGCTAATTACTTTGGACTGGAGGAGAACTGGGCCTTTAAATAACAATCCCAGTGAGTACAAACAGTGTCTCAGAAGTCACTGATGTTTTCATTAACCCAAAGCTGGGGCTGGCACAATGCCTCCTTTCCAGGCCTGTGCTGGGTCCTGGCCCAGGCTCCCCATGTCCCTGAGATCATTTCCATGAGCCCCTTGAGAGGTTTGTAACCAGTGTGATGTGGGGAATGGAGTCATCAGTTTTGCTTCAGCTGCTGAGGGTTTCTCTAGACATGTGGGACCACGGTGTACCCCAGCTCCTTGCCCTGCTCATCTCAGGGCTKGTGTGAGGGTGAGAGCAAGGGAAAGAAGCAGATCCTTCCTTGATTTCAGTCCCTGCTCCACCAGCAGCACTCCCTGGCTACAGGAGGTGGTTGCTTCTGGCTGTCAGTACACGAACATAATGTTCTCTCCTGAAGGGAGAATAACTACAGGAAAGTTCCTTCATGAAGGCATTTCCATTGCACTTTAATTATGTGCAGCTTCAGTGAGTTGCTTTGGTTTTAATGACATGGTGTAATTCACCTAATAGAACTGAGACAGCTACTGACAGCATGAGGGCATTAAAACCATACCTAAGTGGTCAGGGATATTTTGTTTCTCCTGTGCTTGAGAATCTTTGCTGTATTAAAAAATGATGATCTTATTTTCTTTTCCTGAATCCTTTTGGTTAAAYATCCCCTGTCATATCCTTAAATATTTTTCTCATTGAGTACTCAAAAAATTTGTATATTCTGCTGCTTAATCTTTGTGAGGTCAAATTCACCTTTGGCTGGATTTGATTCTCCCAAGGCTCTTGGATGTGAGTACATTATTTTGGCACAGCTGTGGAGAGCAATGCTCTCTAGCTGCTACCTTTGCCTTGACTCTGACCTGCAAAATGGGACTCAACATTTGTGGTCCATTAGAGAATTTGGTGAAGACCTGGAGACAATACAAAGTATTACAAGAACAGAGATAGATAATGACATAAACCTGCTCTGGGGCCTCTGCATTGTTCAAAAGAAGCCAGAGACAGGCAAAACAGAAAAAAAAAACCCAGAAGCAGAAGCTTCAGTAGTGAAATTATCCCATGCAATTCTATTGAAGTGTGAGGTGGCCACTAAACTGCAAACCAATAAATAAAATAATTTTCATCATGTCTTTTAAACATTAGTTGGATTTTTAATCCCATGAGTTTAACAGGATTTGATTGAAAAATATATTCCTAATATTGTTGGCTTGCAGTGCTTGTAACTAGTCTGGCCTGCATAAACCACAGAATCACAGAAYATTCTGCGTTGGAAGGGACCTTCAAGGGTCATCGAGTCCAACTCTTAAGTGAATGGCCCGTGCCCACGACTTTGGCATTATTACCACTCTGCTCTGACCAACTGAGCTAATCTGTCCATAAAGCTGGGCCTCAGAAGGGTCTGCTATAATCGTGTTCCCAACACTGAGGAGCACTCAARGACTATTTCCTTGTAGGAATGTTGCAAGATACTCAGTAGAGCAAGGATTATTTTTAGCTCTACTTCAGCATACCCTAGAATGTTGGGCAGATTGCCATTACCCTGGTTCAGACAGCTGGTTAATTCTTCTCTCTTTCTCTAGTTCTCCCACTTTTACTGACAAAGCCACACATGCCATCTCCTTGCCATTCCACAGATCTAGGAGATGATTCTAATTAATGCTAACGAGGAGTTATGGAGAGGAGCAATGTGCAGAGGCAGTACTGCAGTGAGGAAGGGAACAATGTGTTCCTTTAGGATAAGAAGTAATGGGTATGTGCTGCTGAAATCAAGATTTGTGTTTTGACATTTGACACAAAAAGCCCACTTTAGAAGGGCAAGGACAGAAAAGTGCTGGAACAGAAAGCCTTGAGAGATGCTGCCACTGTGTAGATATTGGTTTGCACAGTGACCTTGCTTTYAGGTAGATAAACTGCCATTACTTCTGTGCTAAGTCTAACACCTCTGTGTTTCTGAGATTGAGTCTGGAGGTCGGCTAAGTGGATGTCAACTAACACTTCCTCACCTGCCCTGTCTCTCAATGCAGCCACCCCAGAGATACAGCAGCAGGTTGTTCATGGCTCTTGGCTGCATCACATTCAGCACTTTGCTCCTCTGCAGCAAAGAGTCTTTGAAGGTGTTGCAACAGCATAAAAGCAGGAGGAACTGAACTATAAGTAGGAGGCAGGAAGAATCATCAGTTAGGAAGCCAGTCTGCAGCCTGTGTAGTCTTAGTTAAACTGTTGTGTTATTTTAAACATAATGCTTTACAAAAATCTCTCTTTTGCTCTCATATTTACTCTCATTTGTTGTTTCTGCAGTTCCTGTTACATTCTCTGGAGTGTCAGTGTACTCTTGCAGTAACCAGGAGTGAAAGGGGGCATCCATGGATCTACTACACCTCTGCTCCATCCCCCTGTAATAAGAAGCATTCTAACACTGTGGAGAGCTGCTGCCTCTCTTTTCTGTTTGCTCAGCTAAGTAGTGGCTTTTAGCACGTATATCAAACTGAGCAAACAAAAGCACACGGTAAGTGTGGTCTCCCTATGATATGGTTTCTTCCTGCATGTTCAGGTTTGAACATTAACTGTGCCCAGCCAGGAAGGAGTATGAATACACAGATAGGAAGGGCTTCCACTGAATTAATATGCAAGCTACTTAGCACCTAGTTATTGCATTTTTCAAAGCATCTGTTAAAATACTGGAGTGGTGGAAGTGATAGAATACACCCAGAATGGCAGAGGGGCTTCATGTGCATCATTCAGCAATAGTGTGTAACGGGTATAATATTTGTAACAGCTGCTAGGTGCTCTGAAGCTACACTACATTTATGGAATTTTCCATTGAGCTCTAAATATTCAGGTCACATACACAGTTAAATTTCCAGCAGTGGCAGTACAGATAAAAGCACTCCAACCGTATGCCATAATTGTGCTCTATTTAGAGAGTGCAGCAACTCAGACATTTTCACAGCAGTTGTCTTAGATACGGTATACATTCTGTTTTATAAATGCCAATTCATTAGCGCATGTAACACGTAGCATGCTGCCCTTTATTAAAAAAAAAAAAAAAAAAGCAAAAAACCCCTGTATTCCAGTGAGGAATTAAAATACAGGAAAAAGCTATTCCTTAAGAAGAAGGAAAAGGAAAATGGAGAGGAGTGCCAAATTCAGTTTTGTTTTTTTATACAAAGATCTGTAGAATATCAAAGTCCATTTTATAAGAGGTTTCAAATCAGTGGCAGTAATTTGAGTATCCATAAATTAATATTACAAAGACTTAACTGATAGGAAATTTCCACTTCAGGATATTGAATTCCACCACAGACAGTATATCACTGACAGAACATGRTTTTAAAACACAGCAGACAAGCATATGTGTTTTGTATATTTTTTTGTAGTGATGCTACACTAGGTATGATTCCAGGCTCCAAGAAAGACAGAAACATTRTTTTAATGGTTCATGCTGAATTATYTTTTACATTCAGCAAGTACTAAGCCAGCAAGTCTGACCAAAACCAGACAGTAAAAACAAAGAAAAAYCATTCTATCACTGCAATGAATTAAAATAAAGCACAAAGAAGAAAACACTGGGACTAGAATTCATATTTTAGCTCACTACTCTAAGGTGGAGAGAATGGCAGGTTCACCTGTGATACTACTGGTTTTGAGACAAGTATCACAGTTGTGTGAGATCAGGTATTCATGAAAAGTAGGTCAGCACAGTCAATTGGATTGAGTTCCCAGTCTTGCTAGACTTATGAATAAAATATTTTGTACCTTTTACTACAACTGTGCTCCATCTTGAACAGCAGATATATTAACCTATTTTAAGATTTATTATGATTGCAAAATATCTCCATGACCTAAATGAGGATCATTAAGCTATATTTGTAAGTCACCTTTTTGTGGCCTTCCCTTTTAATTCAGTACATGTTGGAGCAAGGTGATGGAATATATGCACCTTGCACCTTCTCCACCCTAGAAGCCCAAAGAAAATAGAGGCCTTTAGCTCTGTTTTTATCTCTTGCTCTGTGCTTTGCTCTAGAATAGTGGAGTGATGTGTCCCATTCAGAAGTTTTGGCACACATCTTCTAAGGAAAGCTCAAGGAAGGCTGTGCAGAGGTGACTTCTGGGATCAAGGGCAGAGCTAGAACATACCCACAACCCTTGGCTACTGAACATGTTTTCTGGAGACAAGAAAACTAGTTACATAACAATATTTACGGCTCTGACAGGTGCGGCAAAGGAGCTGCACAATGTTACTGCRCTTTTGCCCACGTGTTTTCTCTCTTCTGGAAGTTTACAGTGCCTTTGCTACAGCTGGGAGAAGGGAACATGGATTCATGTCATCCATTTCAGCTCGYGTTGGGGTGTGCAGGGACTTGTTTCCTCCAGTCTGCTCGGCTTTGTGTGCAGCCAGCTGGCCAGGGAAATGGGAGCTATTTTRCCTGGCTTTCCTCGATGGAGAGCAGGCTGTGTGATGCCTGCAAGCCTTGGCCTGGGTCATGCCAGGACATGGGGCTGGCAGAAAGGGCCAGGACTCTCCAAGGCTCCTGGAGGGAAAACACAGCTGCTGCGTGGGCTCCTTTCCACACCTCCACATGTCAGGTTGTTGATGCCACAGTTCATGTTTCTTCTCTGTCTTGCACGCACCTGGCTCATTTTTCTGGCAGGGGAATCAGGAAGAGTATTTTGCAGTGCCTAGAAAGGGGCAAAGACCAATTATCCAGCAGCTCCCAGAACTTCTGATKTTTCTTCTCTGCCCTCAACATTCAGATTTACTGGATTGCCAGCCAYATTAGAAGATGTTTCTTCCAGAGGACCTAATCCCCAAGATAACAGACTTATGAAGCAGTAACATTAACTTCTTGCCCTCTTTACAGAGTTTCAATTGTTAAGGGGAATCATCAGGTTTTTTTTTTTTACACTGTGGAAAACACAGAACATTCATGGATTAATGTCTAAGCCCTGTTGRAGGTCTCCTTCCAGCCACCTGCCTTCAGAAGGCCAACAAACAAGTACGAATTTCCAGGCTTGTTAAAACTGGCTCAGGTTGTTAGAAGAGACGAACAAAATCTTCACCTCAGGAAATATCACAGGAACAAAGGATGGTTTGGGTTGAAAGGGACCTTAAAAATCACCTAGTTCCAATACCCCTTCCATGGACAGGGACACTTTCCACAAGACCAGGCTGCTCAGAGCTCTACCCAGCCTGGCCTTGAACATCTCCAGGGATGGGACATCTGCAGCTTTTCTGAACAGCCTGTTCCATATCTGGATGGTAAATTCCATGACTAAATAGGTTTATACCTTTTCTCTCCTCAAGCCTTCGACCAAAAAGGTCTGTACAATGTCAGATATATTTCTGGATGTACTRGACTGGTAGGGCTTGTTCTTTGCTTTCAGGCACTGCTTTGGGCTTATTGTAGAAATGTTTAACCTGGGTGCCATAAGTGAGGGAAAAACTGCATACATAAAAAAAGATGCAATTGTGGAATAATAGTAAGGCATTTTTGGTAGGGTTCCTGCAATGCCTTATAATAGTGTGGCTAAAAAGAAACCCAAAACATGATTTTTTTTCCATTTGTCTTAACAAAATTGCAGACACRTTTGAATTTGTAAAGACTTTTTGATGTATGAATGGTAAATTTGAAATAGGCATTAGAAGCTGTAAACAGGGCTTGATCATCCATCAAACAGACAAACCTGATGGTCTGAGAAGACTGCTGATTTCATCAGGGTTGTGTTTATCTGCTTTTTCTAGCTACTTCTTTCTGTGTCCAGTCACTTCTGTTTTCAACAATTTGTGCAGTTTCTCCTGTACATGAAATAGGGAGAAACAATTTCTGCAAAATCAGTGAAAGAAGCCACAAGTCATCTCACACTGACCCCTTTGATTTAATTTTTCCATGTTCCTCTGCCTATGGTCTGCAACACAAAACAAAAACATTTAAAACTGAGCAGACCGAGTATGCTGTAGCAGCATGTGGGCCACCTGATCAGTTATCCCTCAGGCTCTGACACATAAGCTTCTGTGTTAATAAACTTTGGGACTGTGTGGATCAATTTCAGCATCCAAAGCTTACAGGAAAAGAAAAATCCTTAGATTTTTTTTTTTGTTTTGTTTTGTTTTGTTTTGTTTTTTAAATTTTGGCATGATTTTTTCCCTCAGAAGAAGATTATAGAAACAGTTCATCACAAAAGTACAGACAGAAATTCAAATACTGTCTCCCTTTAAGCAGCTGAAAAACTGTATGGAACTAACCCTCATGTCCTTCTAAGCCAAGYCTCTCTAATCTTTCAAATCCAGTCCAATCTTATTATCAACTCACTTGGCAGAATTAATATACTAAAATAGGCACTTGGCCAAGTTTTTTTAGAACACTCAGTTTCTATTATGCCAATCCGATTACAATTTTTTTTAATAAAATTTGATCATAATTAATTAATTAATAGAAGCAAAAAGACCAATTAAGATACAGTTGACTTCATTACAGCCTAAAGATATAATTAGTCTTGTAAACATGAGAAAAAATTATCAAACACCTATATTTATGCTGTGACAGATTCAAATCTACATGGGACACTGTAAATGAGCAACCAAAACTCAATCAAATCTATTGGAAATTTTCACACAGAAATACCAAAAGGAAGTGATACTAAGTGGAAATCTCTTAGTTCTGATTTGGATTAAAAACCATGCAAGCTCTTTGCCTGCTCAGCCTAGAATGCCAAATAAGTTATAACTTCCATAATTAGCCCAAASCCAAAAATAAATTGGTTATCAACTGCTAAAACACTGCTATTCTCAGTACAGCTCCTAACATTTCTTGGGCCACTGTRGGAGGGTTAACATTTATAAACTGTTGTGCTAGAAATGTCCTAGTGACCTGAGTTCAGAATGGAGATGAGAGTATGATTTGTACTTACCTGCKGTCCAGAAACCTGTTTATACCAAGAGTACTGTTACCATGCATGTGGATGTGAAGAACACTCTGATTATTTGTGTGAAGGTTACAGGATTTCTGTCGAATTTCCAAAATCTAGTAGGCTTAGTTCTGCCAGTTTGGACTTGGACATTACAAATTAAACAAAGACAGAATTCTCAAGTGCTTCTAATACCTTGTGAATGGAAAAATCCAGATATATTTACCTAAAAATGCATGAAAACTGAAACATACTACACATGAGCCAAGACTAAGGGGTTCATGTTGTTAAAGGATATAATAAATCACTGCACTGAAGAAAGAAGAAAAATTTATTGATAAAACCAGTCTTGAGATTTAATGTCAGTTATCACAAAAAAAAAAAAAAAAAAAAAAAGAAGAGAGAAATATTATTATTTCACTGGGCAGCTAGTCATCTATCTGCCCTTCTTGTTCTTTTCTAAAAATGTTAGTGTTACCAGACTTAACACAAGCTGCCAGTGATCTCACAAGGAAACTGTCTCATCTACAGACAAGTTATGCTTGGTCAGAAGAGATAAGTCAGACTTGTTTCTTTTCAGCTGAGGTATCCTCAGTTCCT